TTATTTTTTCAGTTCGCCATGCACATTTTCATCATAGAAAACGCCGGTCATTAAAATATTAATTGTTGCAAGATGTCTCTTCTTATCTCTCCGCCAAACACTTCAAATTAACGCTAATCGTGAGTAGTTTGTCATGAGGGAGGAAACTCTATATCTTAATTGATATTCTGGCTCATTACACCAGAGCCCAATTACTGACTTGTTGAGTGTTTCAGTTACGCCTCTCCCGATTGCGCCCGTAAAATGCTGGAAAGTTGCTCACTGGAATGCCAAAAATTTGCTCCTGAGAAATTGCCAAAATTTCAAAACGTTAAAAGTTGCTTCCTATATTTCTTGATCTTTTTAATTAAACATTAATTCACAGTAATTGCTAACATCAGTCAAGAAAAAATAGCTTTAAACTTAGCTTTAAAGAGCTGCTCGCAAATATGGGCAACATTTAAGGATACTTCAGTCTGACAGAACAACCCACATGGTTCATTGGACGTCCTGCCGAACCTCATTTCAGCCAATTATCCGTTATAATGTTCGATAAAGATCGCAACAGGCCTGCGAAACCATTTCATGTGACAGCTTATGTGTAGATCTATTATGAAACCGTCGTCGACTTTTTCGTGCTTGACAAGTGCTTCAAATTTATATTTTGTTCAAAAATTGCTCGAAGTTGCTAGAACCTCAAAAAATTGATCCAAACGCCAAGAGTTTCTCTAAAGTTACCAAGCCAGCAATCGGGGTAGGCTTTGTCTCCTCTAACTCAGAAGTTGCTGGTGCTGCTGCTGTTTGGATTTTATTTTATCCCATCTTTTTGCGAAGTGAGAGGGAGGGAGTAGGGTAGCAAATCATATCGTGTGGACTTATGTTATCAAGCTTTAAGAGAGTACCGCCCGGTCCGCCTCGTGAAGATTTCCTCCTCCTTGAAGCCGTGAGAACGCGGGCTCCTATCACGGACAGCGGCTTGATAGTCACGTGATGATATGTATTTCACTTATTCATGGTAAACAGCAAGCTCTTCATGAGGTGTTGCAACTCAAATTTATATATAGTCGATTGATTACAGGTTTTCAAAGAGAAGTGTAGAGAGATAAAAAATATTCAAGCTATTTTGGGCATGTTACTGCCTCAAAATGACCTTCTTTTGCAAGAAAAGTTTGTTTTTCCCGCTATTGGCGTCAACGCTGATCGGTTTCCTTTTTTGGGTGTTTGATAAACAAACCTATTACGAGAATTGTTCAGTTGTCAAAGCAGCGATTGGACGAAACAACAGATCAATTAGCAGCTTACTAAGTTCGTGAACGAAGAAGGTACTTAAACGCTCAAGAAGTATTGAATGAACCGTCGGGAAATTTGTGGAATTTCTTACTTGACAATGAAGTATTACATTTGTCTCTGATGCTGCTGGTTTGAAAAGAACTATTGATGATCAATGGAATGCTGGAATGCGGTTGATGCAGCTTGGCTGTCGATTATCACCCTTTTGGTTGCATTGCAGGTGGGCAATTTAATACTAGCTTAATACTTACTCTATTCTAATAACTAGCCAAGTTATTAACGACGATAAATTCATTTCCGTTTCAAGAAGCGTGCGGTCATATCGACGATATTGGAAATAGTCTCTTGGGAGAAGTGAAATAGCTGAAACTTTAGTATTGTCACGCGAAAATTTTGCTTACATTCCTCACGGCAAATATGCATTGTAATATTGCTAACTTCAGCCTGTGGGCTGACCCAACAAGAAAGTTTATAGGTTAGACATTTTGCACTTGAGAATTAACATTGTTGTGGTTGAGGTTCGCTGACACATCATTTGTCATTGCTGTTTTAACCACATGGAAATTAGATTCGATGCATTTGGAAATCGTTAGACAATGCAACGGAAGACGTAAGTGTAAAGCGGCCAAATGAAACTTCCGGATTTTCGTTGCCGATAATAACTTGATATAAGCGCAGATCTTATAATGCTTGAGTAGTCTTACGCTAAAGACCTCACTAATAGATTTTTTAAAACGTTGAATCAACAGAAAAGTAATGTTTTGATGCCTTTTGACATTGTGGTAAACCTTGGAATTTAAACTTCCAGAACTTAAACTTCAGTCCACTAGTTCAACACTTCAGTTACTCTGAAAACTTTTTCTCAAACTTGGCTTGCTGTTGTGATTAAATTTCTCTTGTGGAACCAAACTCCTCTGTATTAGGCACTAAAGTTTTCTTGGCTCCTCTAAATGGATCACAGAGGAAAAACCGGATATTCTTTCAACTGAACTATTATGAATTTAGATAATACTCAACCTATATTTTTCAAGGTAGTAATTTTGATCAAATGATCATTTTTAATTCTTTTACAGGGATTCAGCTTTGCAATTTATCAGGCTGGTGCCAGACCATGTCATTCATCAAATCTACATGTACTCTTTATTTATGCTGTCATCAACTTCACTGTTGGCTCCATACTGTGGTATTTTGTTGGCTATTCTCTCTCTTTTGGTCCCTCACAAAATGTAAGGCTTTGCTGAAACCCCTTAACCAACTTCCTGTCTAGTCTATATCACAAATATCACAAGGAAGCATCAATTTTTCTGCATTTCACAGTCGGAAAATTTTCTTAAAATCTCAAAACAGCTCTTATTTTGTTTTGAAAGTTTCACCTTTCAGCATTTTAAGCATCCTGGAAATAAGTACTGAGAAAACGACTTTTAGGCTTACTGATATTAAGTATTACTGTCCAGTATTCTGAGAAAAGACCACTGTTAGGTCATTAGGTGGAAAGTATCTAAACCTGATTGTTTTTGGACTAGAGCTGAGTATTATGGTTTAATGAAAATATAGAGGAAACTCAGGGTTCAGTCCAATTAAAGCAGTAAGTCACTTTGAATTTCCCATAACTATTTATTATAGATCTCATTAGTTGATGATTTTATATATTGCCGGAAATTTTAATATTCCAAATATGTATATGAAAGGCCTATTCCTGTCATCCAAAGAAAATGAAGAACAGCTGATATAACCCTCTTAGTTTCATATTCTTATTTCTGAAAGCTCCATTAAGATGAGGGAAAGTTTGGGTAGCATGCTTCCTTTCCCCATCCACTTATTTTGAAGAAGTAAAATCATGAGAGACCTCTTGGGCTCAGATTTGACATGTTTGGCAGAGAGGGACAGGGTATAGACTAATTTATATGGCAATCATGGAGGCAATTCTCAACTGGGAACTGCAAGTCCTTCTTCTACTTTTGATACAAAAAAGTAGTCAGCTCAAAAGCCAGTTGGCCCATTTTGCTGCTTAGCAGCTTATACTAGTTTCAGTAATCTGTGCTGTAGGAAGAATTGGTATGGTTACTTTCCTCCTGAATGAAATGCTAACTTAGGGGTATCCCTCCCCCTCTCCTACAGAGTTTCTCAGTTTTCATTCATACTCTTGAATGGAGATGGAAACTTAAAGGGTTGGCCTTAGCCTGTATACAGATGCCTCCTACCCTCGCAAAAAATAAAAAAGGGAAGTTGCTCTCCAAGATTTAATTCTTAGGGAAGGAGGCAGTTGCACATGGGTTAGGGTTGCTTAGGAACACAATGAAACAACTAGCCAGGGCTTAAATGCTGATCTTCTTCCCTTAAGTGGAACATTTTAGTTGCCATGCCACAGCGTCTTTTCTTCATCTTTACTGTTCAAATAATTTTGCATATTTGTTTTTCTAAAAATGATCTAATGTGGGCTGATGAGGTCTGAAACAAATAAATTATAGCCTTGATTATACCAGTTACTGCTAAAGAGGGTTTATTATGCCCTGATTGAGATGGCAGATTTGAATACAAAACCTGGTGTATGTTTTGTTCTTATTTGAGCTGCACAGGCCAACCACACCTCAATTTACTTAATTACAGTGTTTTCTGCCCTTTTTCTTAAAATTCTGGTCCTTTTTTCCTTTTGCAGGGCTTAATTGGAAGCCTTGATGATGCATTCTTTTTGGGTGTGTCTGGTTCCAAGTGTTCTGTTCATGCTGACTCTGTGCCAGGAATTCTTTTTGCAAGTTTTGAAATGATGCTGGCTGTCATTGCTCCACTTATGCTTTTATCTGCTTGGTGAGGGAAAGTTTTCAGTTATCAATTTAGCTTGCTTAGTTAGGTGTACTTATTAAATTATAATTATGTTATGCTGTTTTAAGTGTCATTTGTAATTTTTTTTAGGGTAGATCAAATGAACATTCTTGGAGCATTGGTAAGATGTCACTTTTCAGTGATTATAAGTTATGATGTGTTTTTCAAAAGAGATTGTGTGACAGCGTTTGTATTATTCCTACCATTAATACTGTTACTATCATTATTGTTATTATTATTCTTATTATTATCATTATTATTATTGTTAAGTCTGGTTGTAAATTCAATCATGTTGTTGGTTCCTTTTGCCATGTAATAGTTGATTATCGAGTCTGCATTGACAGTAAAGATAGCAAAAGATATACTGATACTTATTTTTGTAAACATTGTAGATTATTTATCTCCTTTGGCCAATATTTGTATATTATCCTCTTACTCACTGGATACGTGGAGAAGGATGGCTTCATCAGCACTTTGGAATTGTGGATCAGTCTGGAAGTTTGACAATACATGCCTCCACAGGTAATCCCTGGAGGGCTTAATACATGGATAGTTAACCGTTTACACCCTAATATCAGTATGCATATTCTCTATTCTTTTCTCCATAAATTTCCTTAGGTGCTAAGTAGGAGAATTTGTTGAACAATCAAGAGTCTCTTTAGTTGGTGATTATCTCCTTTGTTCTTGTGACCTTCATGTATGATTCAGGGATTATATTGTCACGAGAAATTAGATGCTAGTCACTGTTAAGAGTCAAAGGATTCAAGAGCTTCTTCATTTGGTGATCATTTCCGTTATTCTCATGACCTTAATATGTGATTCAGGGATGATATTGTAAGGAGAAGTTAGATGCTGGTCACTATTAAGGGTCAAAGGGTTGATGAAAAATCTAATATTTCTACGTTTGACAGGTTCCTCAGCACTCGTTTTCACTAAGGTCTTTAATGGGGTTCATGAAAACCAGACACACAAACAAGACCACAAGAAAGAGCATGTGCACTTTTTAAATGTATACCTTCTAGCTGGGGGTCTGGTTACTTCTCTAGGATGGTAAGCTTTCTTTTTGAGTTGATTATTTTTTTTTATCATTTTGATCAGCTTTGTAAATTTGGAATGAATGTTTTATTTTCTTATCAAGACAGGTCTATCAATTGACATGACAAAAC